AAACGGACTACCATTCAATGAATTTTAGTAATGAATTCGCACAATATTAAGGCTTCGGTTTTTCATCATTTCATGCCTAGTATCTTTGTTTGGAAGCCAAATGTCCATTCTCTTATTTTACCAGGCTCCTAACCACCTATTTAACTCATCCCGATATGAATAACACCTTTCACGTCTCTCTTGCACATGTTATTTCTAATTTGTCACCATTTCACTAACCATTTATTATTACGTAACTCATGTTCGATACTTGAAAATAAATTTCATCATTTTTGGCTATGAATGATGATATTATAGAAATAATATTTTCTCTGCTATACTGTTTTTATTAGGCATGTATTTAGAAGCAGATGTGGATGTATTTCTGAAGTGTTACTAGGGAAAACTAAAGTAATGATAATATCTAATAGCTTACTTACTTACTTACTTACCTAGGCCTGTTACCCCTCATAGAAGAGCATAAGCATTCCCCATCCAAATCTCTCCTCAACAATCCTTACCACGTGTTTACAGCTGCCATTCAGTCTCTTGATATCTGTTTACAATTGTAGGCGAAATATGTTGCTGGATACTCCACTTTTTCGTTTCCCTTCACTATTCAAGCTTAGCACTCGTTTCGTGATACAGTTTGATGATCTCCGTAATGTATAACATAACCACTCCCAACATCTTTTCCTAATTACCACTTCATCTAGAAGTTAGTTTGTTCTCTCTCACAGCAGAATGTTGTCGGTGGTATGTGATTAACGGACATCGAATATCTTGAGTAGACAATTGTTTGTAAATACTTGTACATTTCTGATGATGTTTGTGGTAGTTGTTGAAATTTCAGTTCAGTTCAGTACAGTAGAACTGTGTTGACGTTCATATTGAAGATTGTGACATTGGTGTTGACTGGTTGATAGGTGTTTTGAGTTGCATATGTTGTTCAACTGTAGAAATGTAGTCCTTACTTTTGCGATCCATGCATTCACGTCTGCATGGAATCGTCCATGTTGATTGATGACGCAAGCCTTATATGTGAAGGTTTCGAACTGTTGTAGAGCTTCTCCATCAAGTGTGTTTATGTTGGTGTTGTGTGTGTTGTATTTGAGGATGTTGATTTTTGCTTTGTATGTACCGAAGATTACAGGTACACCTTGCTGACGAGTGCCAAGTAGCACGAAACGCGGGTCCAGGGTTTCCTGTCGATCACCTCCAACCACCATCTAGTCTCAATATATAGTGCCCGCAGTGTCGAGTCACCTAGACTGGTTGCCACATTGCAACATGATCGATAGCATTCAATCTGCAGTAATAAGAACTAGAAACGCATGACATTGATCGCCACGCAGTGCTCAATCAATTGTGATTACATCTCAGTCCTACAGGAGGTCGGTCGCGGCTCGGATAGCTCACTGGTGACGTCTTTGACTGTGAAGCTGGGTGCTACGGGATCGAATCCGTCAGGGAACACCAGTTCCCTAAAGATTACAGGTACACCTTTCTGACTAGTGCCAAGTAGCACAAAACCAGGGTCCACGATTTCCTGTTGACTAACTTCAACCACCATCTGATGTATCGAAGCGTACTAATGCAGGAGCTGATGCTGCCAGACTAGTTGTCTTCATCTGTATTTGTTTGTGTGTATGGAATAGAAGTGCTAGGTGAACTAGGATGTCCGAATCATCTAGTTGCGTGCGAGCTGTTCATTGTATTCTATGCTTCTCCTCGAATATGGAGGTCTTCATAATCCAGTCAGCTGTGCCTGCTTATACTACTCATTACATAGTTGTTGCTTATTCTTGTTAGAGTGTAAATATCGATTCACACTTGATTAAATGGAGTTGACTCACTCACCTTCTCCACTCAGCTTCGTTCAGCCTGGCTTTCACAGCTCCATTTCCTTGATTGTCTGTCCAGATCCTCGATTTTATCAAATGTATACATTCAAACTTCCTTTTTATATTTGACTTATTTAATTCCGTTATTCATTAACATGAGTTAAGTCGATGATTATGTTGGAAGTTTGCCAGTGTGACTATTTCAATAACAACCATTGAATAACCATCATCACACGATGTAACTGCAGTCAGATATCGGGCCACTAATTATTTTCTATAAGTTTCTTCTTTCCACACTATCAAATACTTTCTTATAATGAATGCGGTTGATGTAGTGACAAATTCCATCAACGGTGATCGTTGATGTCGTGATTTGTTTTGTGCAAAAGCGATCCCTAATGAATTCAATCTGCTGATCTCGAAGTTGAGTGTCCACTACATCGGCTCAGCAACACTCTGTTGAAAACCTTTTCTGGCACTTACAGTAGTCTGCTTTCTGTGCAGTTCTCACAATTGCTCAGATCTCCTTTCTTTGACATATTGATGAGGTATGTTCTTCCAGTTTGTCAGCGCTTGTTCTCCCTCCGTAATCTAACTGAATAGAACGTGAGACATGTTTGCAGTTGCTTCTATGTCCAACTTCAGGTTCAGCTGGTAAACTGTCAGGTCCTAATGCATTCCGACTCTTGATTTTTCTGATAGCCATCGTGATTTGTTTGATCGAGTGACATCTAAAGGAATGCCTGTATGTGCTATTTTGATATTAGGCGGATTTAGTCGAGCAAGCCAATCCAATAGTTTCTCGAAATGCTCTGCCCACTTGATTCCCTGTTCTAAATCTAAGTGACTGCCTTGCATTCTTTGTCCTTCACCGATCTCTCTGGTTTACTATATTACCCTGATTTTTTTTCGTCATGTCATATGTTTATTTCATATTTTCTTCCCTTGAAACTTTTACCGTTTCTTCTAATATATCTTATCAGTCTTGTAACCTGTTGTTGAGAGTTATCTTGAATTCTTCGAGTTTGTCAGTACCTCTAAGGAAGGCTATATTGGACATGTGTAATGTTGTTTCTTTAGTTGTGCAGTGCTTTCTTGATTTCAGTTTCAGCATGGCCACAGCCACGTGGTGATCTAAAGGTATGTCAGCTCCCATGATACCCATGTAGCTTTGTGAATGTGTTTGTAGGGGAATGTTGTGCCACCTAAAATCATCTATTAAATGTACATAAATTTGCAAATCTGTCACCATTTCCGTTTCTTTTTCCCAGTTCATGTGGTCTATGATATCTTTATATCAGGCGCTGTCCATTCCGACATTGGCGTTTAGATTTCCCATCAGGATGTTAAAATCTTTTCCTTCTGCTTCTCGAAAAACTGATCATTATCATCTTCATTGCCATCATTGGTGTGTGCGTTACACTGGATAACATTCATTGTAGTCTCCCTTGGTAACTCTTAATCCATTTGATTCCACCCTATAAAAGCTTTTCGTGCTTCTTTGGATAACATCAGGACAGCTTCTTGCGTGTGTGGAGAATTTCTTTCCTCATGACCAGTGTACAACATCACCTCTCCCTCTCTCTCTAATCTAATCTCTTCTTCCCAGCTTGATCCAATGGGTTTCACATATTCAAAGCATTGCTAAGTTGTGTCTCCTTATTTCCGTAGGTATTTGACTGATCCTTTCGGTCTCCCACGTCGTCCTAATATCCCATGTACCTATATTAATTGTTACACTGGTTGTCAAGACGGGCATCGACCTCGTAACTTCCTAAGAATACAGGCTTTCACCATGAGGCGTCATAATTCTTCTGAAAGAAAATCGTTCAACTCCGAGGGTAGAGTTTAAGTGGTTTACATTGTTTATTCTGGTTAGCGAATTTTTAGCAAGATTGTTTTCTACGGAATGAGGTTGCTAACGTCACACTAAGCCCCTTTACTTTACTTTAGCTTGGGATAGGCAGGACATAATACATGTATATTAGTCATTTATTTATTTTCACTTAAACTTTTCTAAGTGTAAATATCTACATCTAGTTGACGAGACCTTAATAGGATGAAACGTGAGTCCTTGATCCTAATTGTAGATAACTAAACATCAGAAAATCAATTATTTCCTTATTGAGATGTCACAAATTTATTATTATTTTTTTCTTATAAATGTCACTTCACATATCCCATTGCTTAGAGAGTTCGCTTCAATAATTTAGTTTAAAGTAAGCAAGAGAATTGTGCAGATTGCTAAGTTTTACATTTTACATCGTGGACTGATCATTTGAAAACCAGTGAACAGTCAACATCCATTTCATCTAAGCTTGAGACATAACACCAATAAATATCCATGAGGCAGTAGCGGATTGAACTGAGAACCTTCAATCCCATAGGCAGTAGCTTAATCTCTAGACCACTGAGTTCGGATCTGATGATGTGAATGTCTAACTTCAATCAACTTGAAATACTTTTTCAACCATATTAAAATGACTTTCGTGAGTAACTGGCACACACCTAATCTGATCGAACTTCGCTAGACACGATTTCTCATTAGAACTACAGGTAATTTCTCGATGTTAATCACTTGTGACTCATGATTTTTTATTAGTAGTATGGAGAACTTTGCAGAGCTTGTAGGATAACCGTATTTAGAATCATGAATCGATCTTAGATGAATTACTATTGGAAACCAGGAAGCTGTTTCACACTAGTAAAGGCCTTTTCAGCGGTACATATCTACGACTCCACCACTGATTGTCGAACCTAGATCATAAGTGGAAACGCTCAACATCTAAACTAATTTACTTGTTAACCTTCATTGTTTCAATCAAATCAGCTGTTATTTCTGATTTCTCTGTCTACACAAAGTGTATATGAGCATTATCACATGTTATAATTAAACATTTCAAGACTCATGATCTAATATTTAGACATTAAACTTCCTTTTTGATAAATTAGATAACTAAATCAGTTGATCAAGTCAACCACTACATAATAAATATGAAGTTAACAACAAGTTTTATCAAGATAACACCAAATGAAATAGAAAAAAACAGAAAAATTTTGTTTTGCGATGAGTTCCTTTTTTATATATTTTGATATTTATGGCTTGATTCATGAAACAATTGAAGCTAGACCACCATGAAAAATCTCGAAGTACTAAATAGCAACATCGCCGTAAAATCAAAAACAATGAATGAAACAGAAAGTTGATGATGATGATGATGATGATGATGATGATGATGATGATGATGATGATGATGATGATGATGATGATGATGATGATGATGATGATGATGATGATGATGATGATGATGATGATGATGATGATGATGATGATGATGATGATGAGGATGATGATGATGATGATGATGATGATGATGATGATGATGATGATGATGATGATGATGATGATGATGATGATGATGATGATGATGATGATGATGATGATGATGATGATGATGATGATGATGATGATGATGATGATGATGATGATGATGATGATGATGATGATGATGATGATGATGATGATGATGATGATGATGATGATGATGATGATGATGATGATGATGATGATGATGATGATGATGATGATGATGATGATGATGATGATGATGATGATGATGATGATGATGATGATGATGATGATGATGATGATGATGATGATGATGATGATGATGATGATGATGATGATGATGATGATGATGATGATGATGATGATGATGATGATGATGATGATGATGATGATGATGATGATGATGATGATGATGATGATGATGATGATGATGATGATGATGATGATGATGATGATGATGATGATGATGATGATGATGATGATGATGATGATGATGATGATGATGATGATGATGATGATGATGATGATGATGATGATGATGATGATGATGATGATGATGATGATGATGATGATGATGATGATGATGATGATGATGATGATGATGATGATGATGATGATGATGATGATGATGATGATGATGATGATGATGATGATGATGATGATGATGATGATGATGATGATGATGATGATGATGATGATGATGATGATGATGATGATGATGATGATGATGATGATGATGATGATGATGATGATGATGATGATGATGATGATGATGATGATGATGATGATGATGATGATGATGATGATGATGATGATGATGATGATGATGATGATGATGATGATGATGATGCCCTCATTTAATTTCATGGTTTTTTTTCGACTACTCATAACCGTATTCATATTCCAAGACAGCATAATATGATATAGTGAATTTGGTAACTGAAATTTTGAAATGACAATTCTTGTTAGTACATATATGGGAAAGCAAATGATTCATTGAACAATTTAATATACTAAAGTTTAATGTATAGAGAGCGATATATGCTTAAATTGTCACATGTGACTAAGGATACATGTTTATTCAGACATGAAAATGATAATAATATTAATAATATAAAGATGCAGACAAATTCTTACCGTTCGAATAACACTGTCAGTTAATTAAGTTCATTGAAGGGTTTTATAAAATTAATCTTAAACAAACTTAATTGGAGGTTAGGTGCTATAGACTAATGTGTTTAAAAAGAGACAATTGTCAACTTGTCACTGCTTTGTCACATTCACACTTTTGATTAAAATCTTTACCAGCTGTAATCAATTTACGCAAAGATGGATGGTGGCTAGCTATGGAATCCAGGATGCGCGTTTCGTACTACATGCGATTCGTCAGCTGAATGTACTTGTATCTCAGAGTTGATATTCACTCTAGAACTCTAACCGAGTACCATTCACTTGAAACTTCACCCTGTTTTCCACTGAGTCCAGATAGACAACAGCTTGTTAGTATTATTATCATTATTATTATTATTCGTTGTACATTGTTATGCTATCTTCACTGTATGAAATGTTATTTCATTGGTTTTAGAATTTCTTTTGTTTATCTACAATTTATTCATCCTCCATTCTCAAACGTATGTAAAGTGTTTAAATTATTCTAGTTTCAAACATTTTACTGTAAATGTACTATGTAATCTGTCCTAGATGAAAGGTTTTGGATAGTTGCTATTGAAGAGTGGGTTAGACTATAATTTATGGCTGACCTTAGAGTGACGCTAAACTTACCTTGAGAATATCCACGTACTAAAACCAAATAATGGTTATTAAGCAATGCGAAGAATTAGAATTATGATTTACAGTTGATGGTTATGGGTGGGAACTAGATTTAGGGTTTTCATCGTAAACGAACATCAGCTAAAATGCTAAAACTGCATTTAGCCAAATGGATGAATGAATAACGCGTCAAAATTCAAGCTCTATTGTGTGATATCTGATTGTATCATTCGAAAATTCTCGTCTTTTCGAAGATTGCCTTACTAGAACAATACGGTCATTCAGTGCTTCCATACATTTAGTGATTGTCCAGCTGAAACTCAACAACCTTCAAAACCCCATATTAACAATCTAGATGATTACTACTGCACTACATCTGTGTTCTATATCTATCATCAAATGATAGTAGACTTATGTGAACTTTTCTACAATTATTACTCACCCTTATCAGTTTTCGAACACCATACATTACTGTCTCAGCCCATTCTATGTTTTCAATTTCCTTCATGAAATAATCTTACAGATACTGGCCAGACACTATCCGTGGGAGAGAACAAATCAGATTTCAGCGAAAGAATAAATCAGGAAGAAGCGCTGGAAGTGGATAGGACGCACATTGAGGAAAGCACCCAAATACGTCATAAGGCATGCTCTCACCTAGAAGAATAACAGGAAGACCAAAGAACACATTACACCGAGAAATGAAGACAGACATGAAAAGAATGAATAAGAAGTGAATAGAACTAGAAAGGAACGTTCAGGACAGAGTGGGTTTGAGAATGGTGGTCGTCAGTCTATGCTCCATTGGGAGTAACAGGTGTAATTAACAAACTAAGTAAAGTAAAGTAAGTATGAAAGTAATTAAGTAGGTTTACTTGAAAACTGACATGAATACTAAGATTTACTGCAATAATTAGGGTTTCTTCAGTGTAGTTTGTTAACACTACGCCACTGTTTAACATCAATCGATTCATGATTTCAATATTCAGATATGTCAAGTGATCACAATATGTGACATGTCATAAAATCTTGAAACTAATTTTCATTACCTACTTATGTACTACTTATAAGTAGTATATATCGCGAGTTAAAACGTAATATCTGACAGCAGAAGATGAGGTGAAGATCAAGAAAGGAAGAGCGAGAGCACAATGGAATTTGTAAGAAAACTCATGTACAATGGAATGGAAGACAATGGATTAGTGTTTGCAACGGAAACAGTCCAGTTTGATATGATGCATTGATATTTTGCAAATTGACGATTGACTTTATGATATTCAGATTTTATTGACATAGTCTGTAATGGTTGTGCTTAACATATTCGATTTTCCCCACTCGTCTTCTGTTCACTACACAATTACCGCTACATCTGTGCTCATTGCCGTCAGTTACACAGTGTCAACTGATGTGTTAAGCTATTTAACTTAAATCATAATTTAATTAGATCATAGTGCAGTGTGCTACTTTGATCGACATAAGTAGTATATAACGTAAGTCAGGAATGTAGATGTCTAACTTCAACCAATCCACGGAATTGCGCGACCATCTTCCATTGTACTGAGGTAGATACCCGTCTCTACCCGACACGGACTAGCTCCACTAGTCTAGGCTCTTCACAAGTCCAATCAATAGTGAGCACATGGTAATTATCAGTATGGGGTTTTTGTCAGTCTACGATAAATGTCTACGGCAATCACAATGATATACATTATTCAGAAAGAAAAACAGGAGTGCTTAATTGATGAATTGCCATGGATGGACAGAAACATTGAAGAATGTCAAAAGACTTCAGAAAAATGAAATCCTTAGATATAATATTGCTTATCCGTACTAGTTATCCAAATGCAGTAATATTCTGTAAAAAAAACAATTCTTGGCGAGACTATAATTTATGGATAAATCAATCAGTTATAAGATAAGAGGTCTTGGATTTTGGTGCGAAATTCATTCATCCATTTGGCTGAATAGAGTTTTGGCATTATAGTTGATATCAGTTCGTGATAAAAATCCTAAATCTGATTTCTAACCTTAACCATCAACTATAAATCATAATTCTACTCCCTCATATTGCTTTATAACCATCATTTAGTTTTACTTAGTGGGTGAACATTCTCAAAGTTAGTTTAGCGTCATTCGAAAGTTGTCTATAAATCATAGTTTCACCGTAATTTAATTTTTAAGAAATACATCTATTCATTACATTGCCAAAAATAACCAAGTAAGTAAGTAAAGTGAAGCAAAGTAAGTACGTAATTAAAGTAAAGCAAAGTAAGTAAGTAAGTAAGTAAGTAAGTAAGTAAGTAAGTAAGTAAGTAAGTAAGTAAGTAAGATTCTGTTTGTTACATTTTGAATATGAAATTAATGTTTAGTTGCCCAAAAGTGACTGAAATCGCTTGATGTTTTTATTGATCTTTCAGTGTTTAATCAGGGTTGAATAAATCTAAGTGATAATCTCTATTTGGTTTTGTTTTGTTTTGTTTGTACAAATGAACAATTGTGTTGTGTTTTTTTTTCAAACTATCAGTCAGTCAGTCAGTAACAACGTAGAACTTCGTACGTACGTACATCAGTTCGAGTTGCCACACCACATTAGCACAGAGATGCAGTTGTCGATTAAAATCCCGTAGTGGTAGAGGTAATAAGAGTATAAGCAGTAATCGGGAAGATTAGTGTTTGGAGATGTTATTTAAAGAGTATAATACAGTGAAATAAATTTGAGAGGAGAAAAAAAAGAGACAAGGAGGAATAAGGAGATCAAAATTTGGGAGAACACAAAGAGTGGATGCACCTGCGCCATTGCAAACGATTTTGAGCCATGTCATTCAGGGTCTCTAACCATCAGTTGCTATCATCTCGCGGTCCTCAATCAGGTAGTCTACACCTACCGACATGACTCAGACCACTTGTCAGTGACTCCATGGACTTGTGCCATGTTTTGGTTTGGCCTCCCCTAGCTTTCTTCCAACCTACTCCTATACCACTGAACATCGCACGTCGAGGCAGTTGGTCGTTGGGCATACGTAACACGTGTCCCAGCCATCTCAACTGATGAAGTTTCACCACTTCATCAATCGATTTGCCATCCTTACCTAGTACCCGTTTCCTAACAACTGTGTTACTTACTCGATGGTCCCATGATATACGAGCAATATTTCGAAGACACCTATGATCAAATACTAGTAACCTACGAATATCATCTACTCTTACCGGCCATGTTTCACTGCCATAAAGTAGGACGGGACGAACTGCTGCGCAGTAAACACGTCCTTTGGTTGATAGACGGATATCTCGCCTACGCCATAAATGACGCAAGTTGGTAAAAGCTAGTCGAGCCTTCTGTATCCGTGCTGAGATTTCGTCACACACTAGACCACAAGGGCTGATGAGACTTCCAAGATAAATGAGGCCGGTCGACACGCTCAATTATTTCACTACCTATCATTAGTTCGGGTGTCAATGCAACCCAATCCTGAAGCAACATTTTGCATTTCTAGGGAGAGAATCGCATCTCAAACATGCTTGCATTGTTGCTTAGAGTGGTCAGGAGACTCTGCATTTTGTCAGCGTCTTCACCAAATAAAACTATGTCATCAGCATATTCTAAGTCAACAAGTGAACCTCCCGGTAGATGTTCAACCCTTGTAAATTTAGATGAGGAGAGTGTTATCTCTAAAAGTACATCATTGACAAAGTTGAACAAGAATGGGGAGAGTGGACAGCCCTGACGAACACCACTTGAGGTAATCAATTCTGATGACAGTTCGCCATAAGCTCTCACTCTACCAGTTGTGTTCGAGTAGAGAGCCTGTATCAGGTTAATGTACTTCTTTGGAACTCCTTTCAGTGACAAACACTGCCATAGAACCTTACGATCAACAGAGTCGAATGCTGCCTTAAGGTCGAGAAATACTACCGTTGTGTGGCGTCTGAATGTGTGTCTGTGTTTTAGAACCTGACGTAGTGTGAATATCTGATCTATACAACCACGTCCAGGTCGAAAACCTGCCTAATTTTCTTTAGTCTGCTCTTCACGAGCTTTGGCCAGGCGTCGAAGTATTATTGAGGCTAATATTTTAGACACTATATT